GTTTAAAAACCTATCACTTTGCATGACGAAGGATACGAGTTTGCACGACGAAATATTGGTTGTGCAAAGTCTTAAAAAATTAAAAAAATAAAACTTCCCGTGTCCCATTTTTGGCACCCACCCAAATTTTTAGGATTTTGCATGACAAAGTGTTGGTCGCGCAAAGTCATAAAAATATATATATATATATATATATATATATATATATATATATATATATATATATATATTCCTGCATCCCAGTTTTGGCACCCGCCCAAATTTAAGGATTTTGTGCGACGAAATATATGTTCATCGCGAAAAATTATTTTTTAAAATTTGTATAAATAATAAAAAAGAAAATGACTTTATTTTACAATTTAAAATAAATAGGGGTTAGGCGACCAAATGTTGATTCGTAGGGCAAAAAAATAATTTAGTTTAATAATATAAAATTAAATAAAAAACAAGTAAATAGGGTTTAAGCGACGAAATATTGATATTCATCATTTTTAAAAAATAATAAAAACTTATGAAAATAACTATATTTTAAAATTTATAATATAAAATTAAATAAAAAAAGAAAATAAATGCATTAGGCGATGAAATATTTGAATTTCGTCGCGCACAGGTTTTTAAAATATAATTTTTTATTTTTGTAAAGACTTTGCGCAACAAAGTTTAAAATTTCGTCGCGCAAAGTAACTTTGAGCAATGATGTTTGTTTCGTCGTGCAAAGTAACTATGCACGACGATGTGTGTTTCGTCGCACAAGGGTTTTTTTACTAGTGTAGGGTGCTTTCAGGACTGTTAAATCTAGAGTGCGTGCGGAATCTAAGGTATCGGCTCTTCTGAGCTCCCTTCCTGAGAAGTAAGGCCATCTCTAACCGAGGGCTGGCCAGAGGGCTCGTTTGAGCCCTCTGACCCTCCAAGATTCCTCAAGATATTAATATTTTAATGAACAGTACAGGGCCATATTTGCCTCCGTCTCCAACCGAGGGCCAGAGGGCCAAAGGGCTCGTTTTAGCCCTGTCACAAAAAACCTTCTCCAACCGAGGGCCAAAGGGCCATAGGGCCAAACATAATTTATTATTTAAAAACTACAATTTAATGTTGTATAAATGGCCTAGAAAGTTATACGAAAAAAATAGAATTGAAAAAAAATATGAAACAAATTTTGTGAAATAGAAGTTATAGGAAAAAAAAATATGAAAAAAATTTGATTCATATGAAAAGGAAAAAAAGGGAAAAAAAGAAGTTTAAATTCATTTAAAAAAAAAAAAAAAAGAGGCCTAATAATCCAACGGCTACTAGCCGTTATATTAAAAAACATTTCAAACTATTAGTGTCGGTTATAACCGACACTAATAGTAGAACTATTTAAAAAAAAAAAGCTCTTTAATGCTGTCGGTTTTAACCGACAGCAATAGGAAACATAAAAAAAAAAAATAGCCAGCCCCGGGGCTGGCTGGCTGGCCGAAAGCAGCCAGCCCTCCAGCCCTCTAGCCCTCTCCGATCCCGTGGGGCCCTCCCAGATTCCAGAGCCCTCTGGCCTAGCCCTCGGTTGGAGACGGTTTTAGGGCTATTTTCGGCCCTCTGGCCCTCTGGACCCTTCGGTTGGAGATGGCCTAACTTTGTTGGTGATGATCCTGCTATATGGAAAATGAGGATGTAGAACTGGGTGAAGTCGATTTGATGCTTCCCTCTACTGGAAAATGACAAAAGATTTGGATGGTAATGAAAATGCACCTCAAAGATTGATTGGTGAAGAATAATAGAGACTGGTTATCGGTCTAATTAGGGTGACAAGAACAACCCTTAAAATTATAGATTGGTCCCTCAATCCGTCATACTATCAAATTATTGTTGTTGTTTTTTTAATGAGCCATTCAACATGCCTTCTTGCTTTATATATATATATATATATATATACAAACATTTTTACACTTCTTTGTAGCATTTAAATTTTGTAACATCCAACGGTTCTTATCTATTCATTTAATAACATGGATGCTTATGTGGATTTTAACTAAGGGATAGGATCAAGGGACAAATATTTTTACAAATACTTTTACACTCTTTTTCATCCTTTTGATTAAATGACATCCAATGGTTCTTATTTACTCATTAAATGACATGGATGCTTATGTGGATTTTAACTAATATTAAAGATAAAAAAAACATAAAAAAAAAACATAAAATCTAAAAAATTAAAAAAGGAAGATAATTAAAAACTAAAAAAATAAAATCTTTTTTTTTTTTGGCATGGGGACCCACCCCTTCCCTCACCTTTTCTTCCCCTAACCCCTTCCCCAACTACGCCAACATCTCTACTCGCCACCATCTCCTCCTTCCTCGACCCCTTCCCCACCCACGCCGACAGCTCTAACCTTCCCCACATCCTTTCTTCCTCCTCCGCCCCCACCTCTCACCAACACCGGGGCAGGCGTCCTCCATGTGGAACTGGAAAAATTTCTACCCTTCGTCGCCGCCGGATTCCGAGTTCTTCGACCAACGCCAAAAAACTCAATCCCAATCCCTCCAACACCAAAAATCCCCCACCATCTCGGCCCGGAACATTCGGACGAAAATGATACAGAGACAAAGCCTCTCGAGACCAAAACATAAAGATTGGAGTACGATTTCTTCTTCAACCACCGAAACCCAAATGCCCAAAACGCCCATCACTAGAAAAGGCACGAATTAGGGAGAAGGGTAAGGAGAAGGTGGCTCTCCCGGGGGGGGGGAGATGTTGGCGTGGGTGGGGAAGGGGTCAGGTGTCGCAGGGAAGGGGAAGGGGAAAGGATCTGGGTTTTGGGTGGGATAAGGGGATGAGGGAAGAAAGGGTGGGGAAGGGGTCGGGGGTTGTAAGGAAGGGGAAGGGGAAAGGGAAGGGATCTAGGTTTTGGGTGGGATAAGGGGGGCGGGGGAAGAAAGGGTGGGTCCCCATGCCAAAAAAAATTAATATTTAATTAATGAAGTTTTTAATAAATAATGGGTCCCGTCTCATGCCATGTCACTATTTAACGGAATAATTGACAGAAAATTAACGGAACGTATGAAATTGTAAAAAATTCATAGACGAGGTATGACATTGAAACTTTTTAAAGATGAGGTATGAACTATTAATGACCCAATAGTTGAGGTAGTTTTATGTAATTTACCCAAAAACATAATATACTTATGAGCAAGACATATTAATTTGTGATACAGGTTGATTATAAAAAGGAATCTACCATATATTAGATAAATATAATTAACATGAGATATAAGTTGATTATAAAAGTTAAAAATAAAACCTATAAATGGGGAAATGAGCTATGTTTTTATAATGATTAATGATAAGGAGACTCTCTCAAAGTGAGGTTTTCTATGGACTCTCTGTCACCTTATGTTTTTTGCACAATTTTTGTGCCAACATTATAAATTATTTTACTAAAAATATGAGATGATGGAAAAACCATAAAGAGCCATACTTTTAGGAGAGTCTTCTTAGCATTTCTCTTTTATAATTAGATGTCTGGGGATTGATGTCGTTACTGATGATGTTAAAGCGTGAAGTCTAACTTACAGTTTCTAACTCTTTCTTAATGATCTGTGTTTTCCCTTATTTCTTCTTTTGGGAGGCATATTACCTTTTCAATTGTCTCAAACAAAGGGTAATGTTAAAGGACTAAATTTGTTGATTAAATTTTGTAAACTAAATGACATAAAAGTTAATAATTGGATTATTATTTAAATGTTAATTAACATGCTTATTTCTTATTGGCGACACATCATTTAGTTTATAAATTTAATCTACCTAACATTACTCAAACAAAAAAGGCATATCTTGCGTGCTACCAAAGGACCAATCAAATTGTCCTAAGATATAAAATAGAAAGATTGCAATTGTATAATTCCTAATCATTTGCACCAAAAAATTGATTTGCACCATAAAACTATGTCTTTCTTCTACTCTATAAGTGAACAATTAAATTTAATGGCCACTTGACTCTATAGTTTGGCTCAAATAACATGCACATTGAAGTAGAGGGAGAATAAATAGAGTTTTTATTTTCTTTATTTCATGGAAAATGTAAAAATTATTGCAAGGGAAAATCTAGGGGAGATTCACATTGTCCAAGTAGTAGCTAGGACCAAAATTAGGGGGGACCAATGAGATGCCATTTTACTGTGGGCTGTATTTTTCCTAGCTACCATCACATCAACAATACCAAATTTGCATATGTTTTCTTTTGGTTGACATGAATTTGATGTTTTGCAACATTGTCGAGACCTTGCCAGAGCTCCTTTTTTTACCAATTGGGGCAAAGGCTGAGGATTCTATATCCCAAATCGGCGACCTTATTAATTTTGCGCTTGTAGTCTAATCTCTCAATTTCTCAAATGGCTTGTTAAGTTTTCAAGACGTTGAGATCAAATTAGTAAAAACATAGATGAGTAAATGTTGATAGAATGACTTAGAAATGGATTATATGAGCATTACAAATACATGTGAAATTCCTACTTGGATGTGTCATCTACAAATACCTCTTATCAATTTTTTTCTTTGTTTTTGCTGAAAAAAAAAAAGTATCAAGAAAATCTCGATAACAATTTAAATGAAGTTAAAATGCATTTCGTTGAATATGATGAATCTAAACTTTCTCACATTACGGAAAATGATGTATTTACAAATGTATCGGCAACACAATTAACTAATTAACTATTCTCTCAAAAATACCTGAGTTTGAATTTGTATAGAAAGGAAAAACAAAAGCCATTACACACCGTAGTAATGCATTGAATACGTTGTGTGCATAACACATACGAAATATGTAAAATGTGAAAGTTAAATTAAATAATAAACGGTAAGTAGTAAATAAAGACATTTCTCTTTAAGTCGTTGGGTTCTTAGTTCAAATTTTCATTTTTTCTTTAGTGTAATTTAAAATAATAATATTAATTGCAACAAACCAAAAATCAAATATTAAATCAAATATTAAACAAGACAAAAATGAGTAAAGTAAAACAAAATGTTGTAAATTATAATATGAAAGTTTATAATTAACCAAGTTCTTTAACATGGTCGATCGATCTCCATTCGTTGTAAATGAAATGGGTTAAATCTCACTGTCCCAAATGGACATACATACGTACACACATAGCAGTAGCCAGCCCACACACATAAACACAAACTACAAAAACAAATTTTAATTCCTACCACAATCTCAATTTACAAATTTAATTAGCAAGCTTAATGTAGAAACTCAGCAAGTGTAGAACTCAACTAGCTCGTCCATGGACCCCAACTGAGTCTCTGCATTCTCAAGCATCCACAACAAGTGCTCAAACAGCACCACCTCACAAGCCACCACAACCTCGCCGGATGACGTGTCCACCAGCTCCTGAATGACGGGGTGTTCAACGACTTCCGAGCTGACCAGGTATCTTCTCCTTGACTTGCCTACATACACAGCATGAAGCTCCTTGGAGCCCTTGCTGACATGATCTGATTGGTCATCACTTGTGGCTGCAGCAATGGAGCTTGTGGTGCGAGTGAGCTTGGTGAACGAAGGCCATCTCTTTATTGCTGACTTGAGCTTCGTTAGCTTCCCGGCTTTTGCCATAATATTTTCTGAAACTCTTAAGTCTAGATGAGAGAGAGAGGTTTGTGAAAAATTGAGTGCTGCGAGGAAAGTGTGAGGGAAGGTTCATGTATAAATGTGGAGGACAGAGGGAGAGAGAAACTAGAGAGAGAACCCTACTTGCATGGCCCACTGTTTGATACCAGCTAAGAAAGAGATATTTGGGTGCAAAACCAGTTGCACCTTGTTTGGCAATTGGCGTGCCTTACAATTAGCTTGATAGATGACCTTTCTTGCTTATGGATTTTCTGTTTTATTTATTTTGTTTAATTTTCTGCATATTTCCATTGTGGGGATATATAATACATAAGTACCTTTTGCCAACCAGTTATTAATTTTTATAGAGTAGTAGGCTTGAAGCTCAATGTTGAAAAATACTTATTTATTTGGTTTTTTAAATGGGACCATGGCAGGTGCATAAATAATTTCATTTTAGTTGTTAGACTTATATTTAATTTTCAAGCTAATCCAGCTTTAATAAATAAGAATTTGCATGGACACTTTTCTTGTTTCTGTAGAAATTGTATGAAACAATCTTAGTTTAACAGCATTCATATTTTATTTTTATTTTTTTGGATTATTTAGTATCTATTGAAAAATTCTCAACCACTTTGGTGTTAGAGTATTAGGAATGGCTGTGATGTTTTTTTTATTTATTTTATTTATTTTATTTTATTTATTTTATTTTATTTATTTTATTTTATTTTATTTTTTTAATATGTAGCAGAATATATTAGCAAGCAAGACAACGTACTCGATTCAATTGTATAACTTGCCTAGTAATTAACCAAGTTATAATTAATGGCATAGGGCTCCATCTAATTAGCACCAAGTATATACGCATGCAGAGTAATTATGTAGCATATATATACAGTGCGTATATTATTTTGATTAAGCTTTAAGATTACGAGGGTAATCATGTAACAAGATATATTGGTTGCTGGCTAGGTTAACGTTGTTGGTTGTTGTTCTTGTTCATGATATTTAATAATTATCAACAACAACAATTTAAGCTGTTTGTTGGTAAGCAGCCTGCTATTTTTCAAACCGTGGGTGTTTGTGTTTCCGGAAAAGAAAGGATAAAAACAAGAAGAGATGGCAAGGCATCTTTTCTATTTCATCGTTTTTTCCTGACCACTAGTACCTACTTTTGTCTTGACATATATTCTTGCATGCGTTATACTACCAGCTTTTTGTACCAACAAACCTCCGCGCGCAAGATGTCATTCATGCATGGAATCATGAACTGTAAAGAAGCCTCTGATGAGCGCTCTCGTATGGACCTTGATGAAATTGTCCAACAGTTCAACTTGTTGTACCAACCTTCTTTCCCTTAATCCACTATTAGATTCCATATTAATTTGGATATAAAATTATAAAATACTAAGGTTTGCTATATATTATATATACTCATCCTCCATGCTCATTCAAACGCTACAATGGATGGTCTTTAAAATCACCATTAAAAAAAACATTATATATCTACGATTAATCATTCAATTGCACTTCTAAGTTCAATTTACGATTACGCATGTCGATATTTTTCACCATAGTTCAAAAGGAAAACTAACGAAAAGGGCTAGAAAACTTTGAGTTTTAACGATAAGGACAAAATAAAGGGTAAATTGAATAGTACAAGGATTTACTTTTTAGGGTAAAAATGTAGTTTTTCGTTAAAGTGAACAGTACCAGAAGTTTTTCATTAAAGTTCCCTAGTTCAAATGGCGCTTATTAGAAGATTAATGACATGTAATTTAAACTGTAAGTGTTTCAATTACAATGTCCAGTGATTGAGTGGCCAAAAAATAGGTACAATATAATTGAGCTAGTACACGGGGAGAAAGGAAGCAAACAAAAAAACCAAAATAAAGTTTGATCGGGTACATTAGTTGTTTGTTTGTGGTCCAATATGGTATACAAGGGGCGCCATAACAAGGGACAAGGCAAAAGGGCCAGTATTCTAAACCACTTGTTATGTCTCAATCTTGTTCTCTTTTTAATATGGCTGGGTTAGGCGGAGCTAATCCAGTTGTATACCAACTCTATATGTCCCTCTTACTTGGTAAATATTGAATAAGAATCATAATTAGTGAATTTACTAACTGAACTACCCTCACAAACCCACTTCAATATAAATTTATCTTTACACCCATTTAATTGGAAGATAAAAATCCGAAATCAATGTTCTACAACTCGTTCAAGGCGTAAAGAGAGTAATATCTCTTACCTATTCATCTCATACTTAATCTCTGCTGCATATTTGCCACTCGGATATACAAAGGCAAGGACCTAGTGGATACTAGAAATGGTGAAGTACTTGTCACTCTGATATACAATTAAGTCTGAGTTTTAAATAATTGTGTCATCTCAGTGCTAATGTTCGATCCTTGCTCTGCATTTGTCAAGTTCAACCTTAATTAATTAGAGCTAGGTATAAATTATGAGAATTGTTATTAGCACTCCAAAAATCTCATTGGCACTCCCAACTTTCCCAAAATTATATTCAACGGTTAAGTTACATAGAATAGACAACATATAGTCTAGAAAGCATAAAAATAGTTTGTTATGAAGCTCATGACTCTTTTACTTAATTAGAGTGGCAAATTTACAATTGTGCTAATAAAACTTGAAGTCGCGTTTGTGAATTAATCCCTATGTGTGAGTTGCATTGCAATTTTTGTTTTGCATTTCGCCGGATTTAGACTCTACATTGCAGTTTCTCTAGTCACATCTCATATTGAATGATAGTAAGATAATTGGGCAATATTAGCACTAATACATTGACAAAGATTTTGAAAGTTAAATATGAGAATCTAATTTATCATTTTTATTTGTTTTAGATAATAAAACTCCACACCTAGTAATAGATGATTAAGTTAAAAACAATATCAGTAATGCTAATGGTGAGCCATACTAAGCCTATGATTTATAAAGAACGAGGTGTGTGAAGTTATTGTGATATTGTGCACTTCAATGAGAAAATTGATCATGCAGATCTCTTGGTTTGCTACATGATCTCTTAATCTCATATTATGTCTGCTAATTAGTACTAAGCAGTTATTAGACAGCATATTCCCCTGTTTCAGTTCCCCATTCAATTAAATTGATGAGCAGTGTTCGATCTGACGAATATATTGTGCCCACACCACATCCTCCAAATCTTCATTAATCAATTAATATGTTTTCTTCTGAAGCACATGACTCAAAATCTTTTATGATTTCCTTAAGCACATGTAGTCTTACTCATTGGAGACTCACTTCTGAGTTATGAGTCTTATGACTTAGCTTATTATAATTCACAAGATTTGATGTAGGACAAAAATTAGGTTATCACATAAAAATAAAATAAAAAGCAGAGAGCAATTAAAAAATTGATTGGAGAATTGGTAGTTCACGTGGTATAGGTTATTTGTTGATGCTATATCTCGAAAGTGGATGTTTTGGACTTTTCATGATGTGAGGATTGACACAACTATGGTTTGGTATGTTTGTTTTGAGCTCGTAAAGTACGGATTTGAAGAGAACGACGAGATATACAAGATGGAACAATGAGTTCATACGGAATATGAATGACATAAGTCGTTTACTATATTTAATTCGGATTTTAATATTTTAGGATGTTTTAATATTGTGTTTGTTTGTTTATTTCCCTTCCCATTTAGATAACTAAGGTTTCTAGGGTTAAGAACATTACAAATAGGTCATCTTGGCTTTAAATTTGTGCTCTTTCTTATTATTCAATGATCATGAGTTTTCTCTCTTTCTTCCTAGCTAGTGACTTGTAGGATTTGTTAATTGTTTTCTAGTGAAGAATTATCGTTTGATTTTACTTGATATATCTGGTTGCGTCAATATTCTTAGAATCTTATTACTCATGAGAGGGATTGTAACAACCCGTCTCTAATCTTATGATTTTGATAATTTTAAAAGATTGAATTGATGAAAATTCCCTTAGAGGCGAGATTGTTAACTTTCGTTGACTGTCATTTTGTGACGCTTGTGAAATATTGTTATATTGTATTGTCAATGTACTCAACTATACAAATATGTAGGCGCAAGCGGAATCGAATCGGAGTTACGATGGAGGTTTTACGGAACTATGAATTCGAAAAATACTTTTGTAAAAATTACTATTTATTGTAGGCCTATTTGACTGAACTATATAAGGACAAAGAGGGAGTGGGGGCCGGCGGCAACAAGAGAGAAAGAGAGATTTAATTTTGAGGTGTGTGTTGTATCACCCCCTTATGCCTTTATTTATAGTAGTAGGAAGGGTAGAATTCCAACCCTTTTAGGATTACATCTCTTAATAGGTAATCAACTCCTAATAGGTAACTACAAGATACTATTAGATATACTAGGATTTACACAATCACATTCCTAATCCGATAGGACTGCAACACTCCCCCTTGAATATGTATATACTCAAACAAAACATCGCATCAGATCTTCAGCAGATGAGGTAGAACAGATGATGAAGTCGTCGACATAAAGGGTGAACGTGCGTCTCAAACACAACATAAATATGCATTGATAGTAAAACTCACAAAACCTCGCTATGGTAAAACCCAAGGCATGGGGAAAACTCATAGACTAATTAGAAAAGTGAGAAGTATGCATAATGTTTAAAACAAACGTCAAACATGACGAAAGTAGTGAACTCAACGGAGTATGATCATCCCAGGATAGGTGCCTCGTTAAAACCTCGTTAGGTAGCAAAAACCTAGTGGGAAAAATGCTCCTAATCATTGGAAAATGAGTACATTAAGATCAAGAGAGTATGCTTCAGGATACTCCCCCTGAGTTAGACATAACTTACAAATAAGACTACAAGCAATTCAATTCAGATAATTTACGCATACCGATTCCTTGGACGAGTTTCTGATAAGTAGACTTAGGCAGTGACTTTGTGAAGATGTCGACCAAGTTGTCCTAGGAACGGATTTGCTTGACTTCAATGTTCTGATGTTGTTGTTGCTGGTGAGAGTAAAAAAACTTCGGTATTATGTGCTTGGTGTTGTCTCCTTTGATGTATCCTTTCTTTAACTGCTTGATACATGATGCATTGTCT